CGCGTTCGAACGGCCGTTGGGGCCGTTAGGACCGTTGGGCCGGGCCGGCCGCTTCACTCCCCTCTGCGTCCGTGGCCCCCGGCCCGCCCAGGCCGCAGGAGGAGGAGCCCCGCGGGGCAGCGGGCGCGGGAAACGCGCGCTGGAGCAGGTGTCCCAACCTCGCAGTCACGGGCCGGGCTCCGCAGCTCGGGGGGCTCCTGGCTGCCTCCCCCGGGCAATGGGAGATGGCCCGTGCAGCTCCCTTCCTGCCCTGCTGCTCTAGGGCACCAACACTCGTGGTCCTGCAGAGCCCGAGTCGGCCTTGAGGGATGAGCAGCTGCACAGTGTCAGGCTTGAGCCTTCATTATGGGTCTCCCATGCAGTGATGGCTGTTGGTGCTGCTTTGCCTCAGACTAACCCTGAAACCTTCAGTTCTGTGCGAATTAGAGGAGTCCGTGGAGGCCAGGGGACATTGCTCGAAGCTGGCATCAGAGGGCTGCCGAGGTAGCACTCTTGAGTTGAACTAAACGGTACTTGGCGGTGGACCTCGTGGTGATCAATGGAGCAGGTGTCATCTTTCAGAAAGCTCATTCTTGAATGAGAAGAGCAAGGGATGGGGCTCCCGCCTTTCCAGGGTTAGGTTAAGTCTTCCTGCTCTTGTGATCTGCAGAGATCCCCGAACTTGACACTGCAGACCGTGTGTGTTACTATCCGAACAGTTGTTCTTAAGTAGGTGGTGCGTGGTACCGTGCCCGGCAGTGCTCCTTGTTGGGGTGATGGAGGGGCTCTGCCCCATCCTGAAACCTTCATCATTCGTTTTGAGAGCCCACTTTGAACCGTCATTTCTTCCTTCGCTGGGCACTTGGCTGATGAGGTGTCCTCATCTGTAAAAGAAAACAGTCTAACAGTAACTTCCATTTGGTGGAGTGAAAAGGATGAAAAGTTTAAGCCAGTGTCGGCAGGGGTTTGTGGCGGGGAGCCAGAATGGCCCAGCTTGGCTCTGAGATGAGATGGGCTGGCGCTAGGACCTGGCCACCACCCTGGCAGCCACCTGTGCTCTGCCACTGCTTTTCCTTGCATGTGCTGCAGCTCAGCAAGGTGTAGGAAAGCCTCTTGCTGGCTGGCCACAGTGCAGTACGGCCTAACGTGGACAAGTCCTAGCCGACAAAGCCACAACTCCTCAGGCATAGCCCTTCCTTTCTTTCTTACCCACTCTCCACATAAGGGCTCAGGGCAACTTACAACCGAAGAAACACATTAAATATGAACGCAACAAAATAATCCCCTCCCCCAAATTCAAAAGCAATCCGTCTCCATACAGCCTTTTCACTACCCAGTGACTGAAAAGAACTGGGGAGTGAATTGAATACTTCCATAAAAGAAAATAACAATTCCCCTCCTCCCTTCCCGCAGTTTATTCTCCCTCTCTGGGAGGGATGGGGAGATTTGTTTTTTTCAGGACATCCACATACTCTCTCCCTTTCCCCCCTGAGAAAGTACATTGTTCCTTTTTTTTTTTTTTAAACCTCCCCTCTTTCTTCTGCCTTAATCCCAGCCAAAAGGTAATGATAGAGGATGCCCTTTGTTTGGCAGCATCCTTTTGGAAGCTCTGGTGATTGAAACTTGCCTTTGAATCCCTGTCGGAGAACTCATTGTCTGAAGAATTCTTTAGTGCTTTTTTTGTTGGAGGTCACCTGAAAAATAATGCCACCAAAGGGAACTTTAATAAAAACATCCATCTATTGCTTGCAGACTCGTATGCTTTAGTAAGCTAGAATGTTGCAGTGAAGAGGCCTTGGTCAGGAACTTGTTAATATACACATTACAAACAGGCTGGACTTCACAGAGAGTAGGGTTTTTTTTCTTGATTCTTTTTGGCCAGTCTACTTATGTGCACAGAGCAGGTGATGCAGTCGTACAAGTGGAGATTGTGGACTTACAGTCCTTGTGTAGGACGATATGCAAGTATCAAAAGCCCGGATTCTGTGAGCTTTTGAACTTTCATTCCCCAAAATCTTCAGCCGTCCTTGCTCCATCCACGGGGGGAAGAAAGACTTCTTAAGCTGAAGGAACCAAGAGGACCCAGGAGCACTGGATTGGATTTATTAACCTCTACAAGTACAGCTGTTGTGCTGTGCTTCTGATCATTTTCTTCAAGTCTGGATTGGGTTATTCTATCTGCGGTCATCATCTAGAGACAATTTTAGAAAAGACTGCTGCATGCCTTGGGTTCATCTTGCAAGAATTTTGAGCAGGTTGCACCTGGGAAGGTGGGCCCTGGGATGACTGTGCCTTTTTCAAGAAAGAGTAAAATCCCACGTTTGTAATGGCAGAGGAAGTAACCTGAGTTGTTGGTCTGGGCTGAGGCTTATTCACTGACTTTGTCCTACTGTGCTGGTAACTCAAGTGAATGTTTCTAGTGAAAAAGGAAATAGTTGAAGACCAGGGAAATAGGAGAGAAACTAAAAGTATAACAGGAAGTCAGTGAAAATATAACTAGGTAAAATAGGAAAACAAAAGGTAAAACAGGGAAGGGAGGGGGGAAAAGGCCAAAGGAAAACACTACAGTGGTAATAATACAAAGTAAGGAAGAGGCTGTCAATGAAAAGGGAAATAGTTGGAAATCAGGAAGACAAAGGCAGTAAAGTAAGGGAAGGAAGAATGTAAAGGGTCAGGTCAGGCAGGTACCAGGTGAGTCAGATATCAGGCAGGTTGTAATGCGTCATGAATCCAATGTCTGTATTGAGCTCATGATTTTTTTGTGTCCAGTAGATTTATGAAGTGGGGTTCATAGGCTCTTCTATGAAAGTTGTTTTGTAAGTTCCCTTTGTTAGAAATGTCATCTAGGCAAACACCAGTGCTATCACAAAGTAGGCCGGAGAGTGTTGTGATGTCAGAAATTTTTGTTTGTAATGGTCCTGTTTAGTTTAAATGCATTTTAATTGTTCAGGCTTCCAGAAAATGTTAGAAAAGTACTGTGGAATGCAAAGGTATACATGTCAGTTGTTTTTATTTTATGGTAGTGCCTAGATTCCAGCTAAGGCAAGGGCCACTTGTTCTAGGCAAATGTGTTGATAGTCCCTTAACTGAAGAGCTCACAGCCTAAATAGACAAGCTGGACAAAGGTTAGGGGAAGGGATAGAACAGGAGAAAAGCAAACTGCAATTGTTTGCAAACATGTTAGTGTTAATGACTTTACAGACTTACGGGAAATTTAGCTAAAGAGAAAGAAGGGAGAGTCCTTGAATGGAAGGAGGGGCTGGGAATATAGAAAAGAAGTGGGAGGGAGGGGAACATGGAGAGCAATTACAGTATGGTGGAGGTGACAAGATGGTAGGGGAGAGCACAGTTTGGGGGTGGAGCCACACGCAGCTAATCTACAGAGGAGAAGAGTCTATCTGAGGGCAAAACAATTTGCTATCCCAGCGACTGACAGTATATGCTGCAACTGGTTGCTTCTGGTTGATTCTTTGGCTGGCTCTGTCCAGGCATTTTTTCCCAAACCCACAAGCTTGAAACTTAGTGCCCCCCAAACCCAGTCCTTACTTACTGTCTCCTGTCTTCATGTTCATGTCATTACTATTCTTTATTTCCCTGTTTCTTCCTTATAATGGGCATTGATTCCCCTCCCATAAATTAATAATTCAGTTGAAGTGAGTTGAAATTGCACTCCTGTTACTGCTGAGCAGGAGGTTCCTAGTGCTATATTTCTCTTTTGTGCCTTTTGGAAGCCAAGATGTGAGTAGCCACTTGTCTCTGTTCTCTGACCAGGGATTGACAGGAAGAGATAGGGATTAGGAGATTTACGAGAGAAGGACTTGCATTCACAATACATTATTTTGCACTGTTTAGAAAATATACTACATCCCATGTTAGCAGCTTGAAAGTAATGTCTCAAAGGATGGGAAGAGCTATACTAAGTCCTTTTGCTACTAATATTGTGATAATATACATGATCTAGGCATTTAGGGTGGGATTTGCAAAAGTGCAAGCAATGGATTTTGGTTTAATGGAAGTGATTGGAAATCACATTTAACTTTTTGACTCTAACCTACAAATCTGACAGTTGTTAAAAAATTGTTAAGAAGTAATTGTAGTTATGTAGTGCAAACAGGAGCTCATAGTTTATGAAATACTGACCCTTTTTAAGGAGACTGATCTCTGTTTATCCCTTGATCTCTTCAACTCACCTTTGCCCTTCTCAGCAGCATCCCCTCCCCCTAGCCTTTCTCCCCCCTTTTCCTTTCTTTTGCATTTAAGTTCTACTTTCCTATGAGTCCTATGACTATTCCTTTCTATTTATTACTCTGCAAGTCCATTTATAGCATCTGACAAAATAGACTGTTGCCTGTGAAAGCCTATGCCTTTTTTAATGTGTTAGTCTCTGAAGTGCCACCCTGACCTGCCTTCTGCATGACTTCTGCATGTCTTCAGACTAACTTGGCTAACAACTTCAAGAAAACTTCCTAAATGTTGTAAAGCTGTAGATCTTTGCAGTTTCTAATACATGTAATACACTCTAATATATGTAATGCACTCACTTGTACCAAAAGTTCTCTCAGTTTACAGACGGAAATGTTGAGATCTATTCCCTTTAAAGTTTTTTGCTTTTTGTTTTTGTTTTTTTGTTTGTTTGTTTTGTTTTGGTTTTTTTTAAGTCTTTGCATGCAAATCTCAGAAGAAACCATGACACCAGAATTCTTCCCCAAATGGCATGGGAAATGTTGAACTCTTTATAGGAAGGAAAGTTCCTGATATTTTAATAATTGGCTAAAGGATTATTAGCCTGTTGGATTCTGTAGGAAACTTTTATGTATAAATACTGATACCCATTTTCACTTTTTGTTTTGCAGGAAGGAGTAAAAACAGAGAATGACCACATCAATCTGAAAGTAGCTGGTCAGGATGGATCAGTGGTCCAGTTCAAAATAAAAAGGCACACACCGCTAAGCAAACTAATGAAGGCTTACTGTGAGAGACAGGTACATGCGTTAAATATAGTTCTTGTATATTGCAGTTCAGTACTACTGTTGAATTAATGCTGACTAAGAGTCTGCGTCTGCATCTTATCTTGTGGGGAGACTCAAACTATGGAAACATTGCAACTTTTTCTGACACGCTAAATACTTTTTCTGACATGCTAAATGAAGGAATAAGCCCATTATATGGGAATTGACACAGCCGGGGCACAGCCCCAGCCTGGGCTGCAGCTGACACCCAGCACCTCTGGAGGGGCTTCAACCTCCTGATCCTGGGGGGGGAGTGGGGGTGGGATCAGCACCTCCCCAGCCTGGGACACTCCCATGCACAAAGCACTCCCATGCAGAGCTGTCAAGGAGTAAGCCCATTATATGGGAACACTATAGAAAACAGGTTTAGGAGCTTATCTTTAGGTTTTCAGGCTTGAAAAGATTGGTTTTATTTATGGCTTTAACTAAACAAAAATACTTTCCCCACATCTGCACTGAAAGAACTAGGGTTAATTTGGTTCAGAGAAGTCTGAGGTGGGATTTGAATTAGTTTTCAAATACCTGAAGGGTGATTATAGAGAGAATAGAGATGGGCTTTCTTTTGTAGGGGACAGAACTAGGAACAACAGATTTAAGCTGCAGCAGGGGAAATTTAGGTTGGAGATTAGGAAGAGCTTTCTGACTATGAGGGTGATCAGGCATTGAAACAGGCTGTCTAGAGAAGCTGTGGAATCTTCCCTCTTGGAAACTGTCAGAAGCTGGGCGGACAGATACTTGGCTAGAATGGTTTAGTCAGGGATGATCCTGCCTTGAGCAGGGGGCTGGACTAGATGACCTCATGAGATCCCTTCTAGCTTTACTTTCCTATGATTTCTATATATGTCTTGTTTTCTGTAATATCTTTTGATATTGAAGCCAAGAGTCAGAAACCCCTGAGTTTTAATCCTCACTCTAAAGTGAGTTATTTTATGTCTGTAGCAAATCATTTAGGTTTTAAACCATTTACTGTTAAGAAAGGGGGCCAAATTTAGATTGCACGGGCCACTTCAATATTGGCTTTTTCTAACTTTTGAGTGTTTCACTTTGCAGCCTTAACTTTCTTCTTAAATTTTTGTGGAAAGAG